GTGAACAGTTTAAAACATCATATTTTTGTTTCTGGCATTTTCCATTTAACAGTTTCACACAGTTGACTCTAGGTAACTGAAAACATGGAAAGACAAACTGCAGGTGAGTGAAGACTACTGTTAAGATAGGAGGTCAGTCTATGGCCATAGCACCCTGAACATGCCCGATCTCATCTGAGATAGATTAGGGTATAGCCAGCCATTTGGGCAAGTAGAGGTACCTGCCAATCACAGAGGTACAGGACACTGTGCAGAAGACAGTACTCAAGCCCTGCAACTGAGACCAGTCAGAAAATGTTATCATCAATTCTTCTGGCATGAGATCAAGCAGGTTTTTGATAAGATGGCCTAGATCTGAAGTCAGATTGGAGGATAGAAAAGATAGCCACCCCTAACCTCATGGCCACTGTAAGCTCTTTCAGTGGTGGTCTACTCTAATCTTGCAAAGCATACTTCTTTTCCTATCTTTCATTAATATAAAACTGTACCACCTCTTGCAAGTTTCTTGTTCAAATCTTTTTTCAGAACAAGAACCTGAAAAGAATTTCTAGAAGGAGCCCACAGTATCCAGGACCCTTAAACACTGTTGTCTACAACTCAGATACTTTTTCTGCAAAATTCCAAAATGCTTTTTGCTCCAAACTTGAAATACACTTCTGGAGTCCTACAATGTCCTCTGTGAAATGTGGCCCCTTTGCTGTAATAATTTCTTCCTTACTGCACCCTATATAATTGACACTGCTAGACCTGGGTGTTCCCACTCACCAGAGAAAGGCCTTGAAATTTCAAGAAAAAAGTTCTAATCCCTGGGACCCCTTGAAGTGCCTCGTGTGTCTCATCACTGTAGCCTCTTATCAAGAACCAGGCCCTCATTCAAAGGCAGGTAGGGATGTTTGTTTAACCTCTTTGAAGTTATTGTTTTACTGCTTTTTGTTCTGAAAGCTTCTACTCCATCTGCGATAATGAGAAACCTCCTATTCTCATGCTGTGTGCTCTGTGGACCCCTAGATCCCTTCCCCTTCCTTTCTCTGTCTCTGTTTCTTAGCCATTCTTTTTTGTTGTAGTTGTTGGTGCTGGTTGTTTTTTGGGGGGGTGTTTTTATTTTTGAGATGGATTATCCAGGCTGGCCTCAAATTTGAAACAATCCTCCTGCCTCAGTTTCCCAAATGTGCCACCACACCCGGCAGTTTCTTTGTCATTCTGAGCAAGCTGTCCTGTTCCACTGCAAGTTCCCACGCCCTCTTCACTCATACACACCCTCACACGTGTTCTCAGGCTCCTTCTACGCTACTTTCTTCCTTTTAAAAATAACATTTGATGAGGCTATGAGTTATTTTGAATAATTTTGGCTACTTTCTGTCATCTGTAAAAAAAAAAAAAAGACAAAAGAAAACATGCCACTCACAGGCCTGGTGATACTTGTTCCCTCAGTCCCTTTCTTTCATCTTATTTTTAATTTATCTGTTCCTAAAACCAGGGCAGCAGGCCATAAAATTTCAGTGGTCATCACTCTTCACCTTGGTGGTCTGAATTCTTTTTCCCTGCGTGGTGTCACCTTGTGAGGCTGGAGTTTACAGCACGCATGGCCAGGATGAAAGTCTGTTCTCCGGGAGACTGCACAGCAGTGTCTCTTCATTCATTCAGCAAACATTTAAGTGTCCACTAAATATCAGACTCTATGGTAGATACTGGGATTCAATGACCCCAGCTCTCAAAACAGCCCAAGTACCATAGAAGAGGCCAACTATACGAACAGATTAAAAACAGTGAAGAAATGTGTCCAAAAATACAAGCACAATAAAAGGGGAAAGGAGTTAGCCTGGACTGGGGATCCAGGTACCTGGGTAGATCTAAGGTTAGAGCCAGGTGTGGTGGTGCAAACCTATGGTCCTATCACTCAAGAGGCTGAGGCACAAGGATCATCACAAGTTTGAGGCCAGCCTGAGCTACATAGTGAGATCCTGTCTCAAAAAAACAAAAACAAAAACAAAAAAACCCCAAACAAACAACCCTAAGGTTTAAAAAAAAACAAACAAACTGATAGTTTCCTTAAATTCTTGTGCCCAGAAGACTTAGTTAAAACCATAACTGTTGAAACTTGTCTGCCTTAAGGGAAACCCAAATCAATAATGTCAAAGACCCTGTCCACACATCTCAATCTAAATTCTAAAGTTACTTAAATCCTTTTCACAGGTATATTTCTTTCAATCAAAATTCTGTTTTAATTTCTCAGTTTTCAGCCAAAGGTTAGAGTCTCAGAACAGTAAGACTTCTTCTCACTTAAGTTTTAAACCAACCAAATAACGAAACAAAGTGAGCCTGGGTGTGGTGGTGCATGCCTGTAATCTCAGCACTCCGGAGGCTGAGGCAGGAGGATCGCCATGGGTTCGAGACCAGACTGGGCTACACAGTGAGTCCAAGGCCAACCTGCGCTACATAACGAGATCTTGTCTCAAAAAAAAAAAAAAAAAGTGAAAGTAAAAGAGGTCAAAATATCATTACCATTATTAAGAGCAGTAATAAATTTTGAGGCAAAAAGAGCAATTTGTAATTAAATTAGGCAGAAGACCATAGCAAAGCCACTTACCTATTCTCTTCCAATAGAAAATGGTGATGAGTTCCCAGTTTATTTTCCCCAGGAAAAGTAATTCCAATTCTCTCCTCCCTGAGCACAGGGCCGGGAGGTAACCAACAAGACTCCATTTGAAACTTCTTTTCTTTTTTTGAGGCAGAGTCTCACTATGTAGCCCCAAATGGCTTCAAATTCATAAAGATCCTCCTGCCTCACGCTCCTGAGTGCTGGGATCACGAGTGTGAACCACCATGCCGGGCCCTCTATTTGACTTAGAAGAAAACATATAAGGGAAAAGTTGTTTCCCCCACAAAGCTGTCTGTTCAACCAAATTGTTATTACAAGTCCATAGTCCTTTATTTATAATTTCAAAAGGAAAAATGATGTAAAAAAATATCCTTACAAATTTGTGGAAATCTACATTCAGATCAGGCAAAATCTGATCTGAAATGTTAAGAGATTACCTAGGGTCTTTATCCCATTTAGTTGAATAGGACTATATTTTTATAAATTATGGGTACTTTCCAGACCCAGTTGGGTATGTTATTGAAAAAACAGTTTAGGTACCATAGTACCTTTCTAAAAATCCACACAATTCTGAATTCTAAAACAGAGTAGGCTTTGAAAGATCAGTTTCCTGTGGGAGACAGTGAATTGGCCAGTGACAAATTAGCAAGATGTCTTGGGAATTTGCAGAAAGCAGGACGATAGAGCTTGGGCTACAAAAGACAAGATTAGGAAATATAGTAGCTAGATTTCTTTGATATGAGCTCGTGTAGAATTTATTTACTTTTGGACATTTATATTGAACAGAGGCACCTGATTAGGAGGGTATTGTTCCATCAGCATAGTTACCAGTGCAGAATGCTGCCTGGCTGTGGTACGCGGGAGTTCCAGAGGCACATGATTGCTAATCACGTGGAGTAGAGCAAAGGCAAATGAAGATCGTTCCAGTTTTCTCTACAAGGTCCTAAATGGCATGTGCAAATTACAAGGCTATGCAAAAAAAAGGACCTGAATTCTCCTTTTTCTGGCCTGATTCCATGCTGATGACATAGTTGTAATCCTGGGGGCTGGACAGATACACAAAAATAGCAAAAGCCATCTGGACACAATCAGAGCTTTCCCAAGCCTGCTCTTGTAGAGATAGACAGTATTTATTTGGCCCTCTAATGGCCAACCCTGCCTGAGTGTGCAGATGCATGTGGAAAAGCCGTTAGTAACAGAAAAACATGAGTTACAAGCTTGAGTGAATATTTCCATGAACACATTCTCTGATAGCTCATCAGATTCCTGTATCAGAGGTGTGGAAGGTCACCTGCCATACAGGTACAGAGTTTTCTGAGTTAGCACATGTCATTTGTTTTCTTTTTTTTTTTTTCCTCTGGTACCGGGAACTGAACTCACGACCTTGCACTTGCCAGGCAGGCGCTTTGCTGCTGAGCTAAGTCCCCAGCCCCTGATGTCATTTGTTTTCACCTCCCAGTCAGTGGGAGATTTACTAGAAGACATCCGTACAGTAAGTCCTTGGTTTAGGAACATTTGAGTTTTGCACTTTCACAGACGTAACAGACATAATATTATGAAGATCATAGATGTGAACAGATCACAAAAGTAGTTCATATGTCGGCCAGAAATGGTCACTGCGGTGTGCTCACTGCACAGCCGATAGTGTGCGGTGGGATAACGCTCAGTCAGAGCCCAGAGCAAGAGGAAAAGCAGTGGCGATGTGGAGGGGACTGCCAGGAAGTGCAAAGCACATAAATCCACTGTATACTTCTGTCAAAGGTGCATAAGGCTTTGTCCAAATGAATCTAATTTACAGATGTTCTCCAGGAACAGAACTCGTTCATAAGCCAGGGACTTACTGTGATATTAATAATAACCACTAGATAATACTAATGACGATGCTTAGTATCTACACAGTACTCATTGTATGCATAGTGCTGAATGCCTTGCAAGGACGACCTCATTTAATAAGAGCCCCTTCTCTAGCCAGGTGTTCTGGCTCACACCTGTAATCCCAGCACTCGAGAGGCTGAGGCAGGATGGCTGCGAATGTGAGGCCAGATTGCTGCAAATATGGGGCTACAAAGCAAGACCCTGTCTCAGAAAACAAATAATAATAATAATAATAATAATAATAATAGCTCCTTCTCTACGCCAGAAATTTAATTTATACTCTCATTTAATTCTCACATCCCATCAGCAAGTTAGGTGGTAATCTCACTTCTCATTTACATGGGAAGGAAACCGAGGCCAGAAAGTTAACGATTCTGTCTCCAGCCAGTGTGGTAGGGAGTGAGGGGAGAGCCAGAACTAAGATGAAAAATTTTAACCACAAGTTCTCAAGATACCAGCTAATGAGGACAGACTTTGACTCAGACATGGAGGCTCCTGGAGGTCTGCTTCTGTGCCAGCTACTCACCTGGCAGTAACTTGGGGAGCAGCAGGGTGGGGTGCGGAGAGGGCCTAGGAGAGGTCCTGGACATCAGGCTTGCCAGTAGTGGGATGGAGCACACTTGGACGTTCAGTAAAGGCCCTATGCAACAGCCAGTGTGAAAGATTTTCACTATATTAATATTTAAGACCCAATAAACTATTTTTAATCAACCTACATGGCCATGACAGTGTTGTAAATCACCCCTTGGCAGAGGCAAGTTTTAAACTTCCATCGGCTAGATCCAGTGCCTGTATGTGGGTGTATGTGTGTGTACTTGTGTGCATTTGTGTGTGTGTGTGTGTGTGTGTGTGTGTGTGTGGTGTGTGTGTGTGTGTGTGTGTGTGTGTGTGTGTGTGGTGTTTTGGTCTTTCTGCTGTGCATCCTCTCCCCATTGCCCTCTTCAATTTGAATTACCTCTAGTAAGAAGGAGTTTATCCCTTCATGGGGAAGGCTGCACAACCTGACACCAGTTTTTGTTAGCCCTAACTGGCTCTTTTAAATTCCCATTCCCCAGTTCTGGTGGAGCCTTCTGGAACAATCCTGGACATCTGCTTTTTCCATCCTATGATGCCCTTATACTTTTTCAGATTTTCTGTTTTCTTCAGCAGAACATGTTCACCCAACAAGCAAGCATATTTGAAGCTTCTTTCTGCTTTTTCTTAGCTTTATAGAAACCCCCAACACTAGAACTTTCCCATCTTACTTAGAAACGATCCTTGTTACCTCCAATGGGAAAGAAAGCATCTCCTCCCCAGCCGGGGAAGAGCTTCCTATAGATGCAGGGTGCCCTGCTGCATGGGCTCTGAGGTCGAATGGACTTATTTTAGACCCTGGCCCTTTCAAATGCTGTATAGCCTGAGAAGTAAGTACAGTCATCTCATTTCCCATATTTTTAAAGTGGGAATAGTAAGAGTAATTATCTTATAAACCTATGGTGAGATTACAGGTAACAGAAACCTGTGTACAATCCTTAATCCACATAGTAGATACTCAATATACTTTAGCTTTTTAAAAATGGTCCCTGATTTATACCCCTGATATTAGCAGGCATAATGTACACAAAAGCACCAAAGCAAAAGTCTGAGAATCCCTAGCCTGCAATTACATTGGAAAAGACATTCATGCATAAACTGTGGAGGCTGCACGGGGAGATTCATCATGATCTGACCTAAAATTTTTGTGACTGGAGATGTATATTCACAGAATCATAGGCATGAGTGAAAAGAAGGAAGAACTAGAACGTTTAATCTGTATTGACTTCCTGTCAATCTTGAAAGGTAGGGATTCTTTGTCCCATTTAATAGTTAGGGAACAGAAGCCCAGAGAACAACTGCTAAACTGAGGTACTGTAGGGCCGGGTTAGAATTCAGCCCAGGTCAAATGTTCTCCTCCCTTGACAAGGACCCCAGAGGTACCCTCTTCATCCCTATCACGTTACTGTGAGGAAATTGAAGACAAACGGACACACATCGTGCCCTGGAGCTAGAATCCTGGAGTGCTCCTGGCTGTAATTTGCCTCCTCTTAAAATAGAATTTTACCCCCTCCCTCAAAGCAAGGAATAGCTGAACAGAGCTAAGGATCTCTGTCTTGGTTTCATGGTCATACCTGCTGTACCACCACTGTATTTAGTTAGTTTCAGGTGCATACCTGCTTTGTACCCACTGTGTTTAGTTTGTGAGCATTCACTTCCATGACTATCTCCTACTACACTGTTCCTTCAGGGCCAAACCAAGTCTTTCTTCTCTGTAACCCTCAGAGCCCTACACAGCCCTACACAGCCCTCCCCATGCAGCAAGTGTTTGATAACGAAACAGAACAAGTAGATGAATTAACTGTTTGGAGTCTGCCAGGGCCTGCACATGATTCAGGATGCCTGGTGTGATTCTTGACCCACTTTTTCAGTCGCATAGTCCTGAGTCCATCTTTTTCCACCCTCTGGCCTTAAGGACATCACCCAGACTTCTATGACAGAACAGTAGACAACTTCTGGGGCTAGGGATGTATCTCAGCAGTAGAGCACTTATTTCGCATGTGTGAGGCTTGGGTTTAATCCTCAGCATGTTCAGGAAAGAGCAAACAGCAGACAACTTCTGATTCAAACCAGCAAGGCTCACCTCTTGCAGAAGCCTGGAGAAGGCCATCCTCTGAAACACAGGTGGGGCTTGCGCGGCTCCTTGGGTATCAAGCCTCTCTAGGACCTTTCCATTTGGAACAATTGAGGGAGGGAGGGAGGGAGAGAGAGGGAAGGGAAAGAGAAAGGGAGAGATTGAAAGGGAAAAAGAGAGACTAGAGAAAAAAAATCAAAAATCTCTCTAATTGTGGGTCAGCATTCACTTTTTCATGGGTGACAGGTGATGTCATAAGGCAAACCACGCCCCCTCCCGCGGGAGACTTCAACTCTCAATAGTAAAAACTCCTTCCTCTTCACCTGTTCCCCTGCAATTCCCCTCAACAAAAGCCAACCCGCCCTCCTCCGCCTTGGCAGAACCAGATGTTCAACTCTGACTAATGACCCCCACCCCGCTTGGGCTGTTCTGACCCACAGACACCCACCCCCCGGAAAATGTTCTGGCCTGCGGACACCCTCCCCTGAAAATAGCTTACACACCCCAGGCTTTGCTCAGCTCGGGGCTGTCCTAGTCCGCTGGGCAGCCCATGGTGTCGTTTTCACGCCCAATAAAGATTCCTGTGTCAGAAGGTCTGGTCTTGTTCTGTGTGGCTCTTGGCCCTATCAGCAAGAATTAGAAAATGTTTCCAGAGGAGGAGAAGGTAGTGTTTCCAGGAACATCAGACAAGAGAGGAATTTTGAGTTTAAAATCAGGTATTAATGGAGCCCCGTGAGCAGGAGAACCTGCCCTTCCTCTGCCTGTTGGGAGAGTGCCTGGGACTAGGACAGAGGAAGGGTGCTCAGGGAATATGCTGGCCAGAAGCTCCACTCGGGCCTTCTGCACACCTGCTAATGCGAATCTCAGGGTGATTCTAAGACCCCTTTAAGAACTAAAGGAATAGACTACCTTGCTACAAACTCTATGCACAGCAAACACACAGGAAACATGATTTTGAATGAGTCGACCCCTAGAATTAAGAACCAGCTTCCCACACAGTGCGCACCCACACCATAAGCTTCTTGTTTTCCTGTCTGGAACAGACTCAGGACTATGCAACTTAATAGCTGTGAAAGACAGGAACAAAGGAGTAATGAATGAGCTGATCTTCCAAATTCTGCGTTGGTATCCCAAACACACTTGCACGGAAGTAGACTTCTATGTCTGGTGACTTTCTGGATTAGCATTAGTCCCATATTGATGGTAACTTGGGAGTTAATAGCCTGTGCGAGCTTGGGAACAGAACCACGCATCTTGTTTCTTTGGAAAAATATGTTTCATCTGTTTCACCCAACTTCTGAATGAAGTAAGGGTACTTAGGGTACTGTAGGGTACTTAGTAAGCTAGGTATGGGTCTTTTCCATTTCTAAAAAAGGAAAAAGCCCTATTAGAAACATGTACCTCCACTATATTAGGACCATTTCTTTTAGCTGCTCATGGTTTCTGTGGCATTACTCAGTATAGGGCAGACTGCTCTTTCTCCCAGGCGTTAAGAACCTTTATGAGGACATAGATGTTTAACATCTTGCCACAAAGCGGAATAACCAGTTATTTTAATGATCTGAAACTATTGTACCTAAGATTACAGTAGCTCAGATTTGATTTTAAGGTACAGTGTTCTACAGGAAGCACAAACAAAATGAATAATTCATGAATGATGGTACATTTATGATTTATTTACAGCCTAGGACTCATGCTAACTCAGTCAACATCAAACACCTTATGCGATGGCTTGCCGTTTACCGCAACATTTAGGAGAAAAGGGACAAGATTGAAAACAGGAGATATACCATAACTTTATATAGGGCAGCAATTCAGAATCTAAATATTTGCCAGAAATAAATTGAATGATGATGAATATAAAAGCTGGCTTTAATGAAATTAATAGTATCAAGAGATTAACTATTACTGCCAGGCAAATTATGTAAGCTATTATATGTAACAACTGTCTCCAGGTTTTTCTTAGTTTTTTTTTTTTTTTTTTTTTTTTTTTTTTTTTTTTTTTTTTTTTTTTTTTTTTTTTTTCATCAAAGCCTTTCTTGAGCATTTCTATTTCTTTTCTTTTCTTTAATTATTTTTCAGTACTGGGAATTGAGCCCAGGATCCCAAGGCCTTTGCATTGAGCTATATCTTCCTCTTCCTTTCTTCCTCTTCCTCTTCCTCCTCCTTTTTTAAAAATTTTGAGACAGAGTCTCACTAAGTCATTAGGTTGATCAGGCTGGACTTGGGATCCTCCTGCCTCAGCTTTCCATAGTGTCGGGGTTATAGGCATGAGCTAATGTGCCCAGATAATTCCTTAATAAAATTTTAACCATGAAAAAAGCTAAAATCCCTACAATGATCAGGAAGATATAATTTTGTCAGTTTTCTAACATACTTGCTAGGTACAATCTCATTGTTTTGCAAAGAATTTATTAAATAGCATAAGTCCCTGTCTCTGACCGGGGAGAGAGGCGATTGTAGGCACGGCTCCTTAGGAGTGGTGTATCCCGTCAACATAGGAGTGGTATATCCTGTCAACATAAGAGTGGTATATCCCATCAGCAGAGTTATCCTGGGGGTGACCAAACAAACAGCTGTGGAGATGTATAGGTAGGACTTCATATAGTATTTTTTGTTGGCAAAATTGTATACATCTCCATAAAAAGTGATCACTTCAATTAAGTTTAGACAAATGATTACTAAAAAATATTTTAAAAATCTTTCATGAGTTTTCATAAGATGCAACCTGGTGTGCTCTGGGCCCTTGAGGCTAATAAGCATCTTCCACCAAGGCCTCCTCCTGGAAAGCGGACATACCCTGAGGCAGAGCAGAGGTCAGATGGAAGCCTGACCATGCCAGGCTGGGTGGACCCTATGGGCACAGTGGGGTGGATTCTCAGTGATGGAATCTTTTGGTGAAACTGACCAGTTCTAAGGGCTCATTTCCAACAAGCTCGGCTTTTCTCATGAAGCCACCCCAGTTACCAACACTATCTCATTAGTGTCTTTGTCTTAAAAATAAAAACCAACATTCCTAGTCAGAGGGGAGATTCCCACAAGAACATTGTTCTCCCTCCACTTCTTTATAGATGGAAATAATCACTCTCCTTGGAAAAGCGCCTTTGGCAAGTGGTCCCTAGCATGTATTTTACTTCATTCCTTCTCTTCAGATATCACTTGTGGGAGTTTATCTTCATTTGTTCAGCCTGCTATAACAAACTACTGTCGACTGGGTGGCTTGTACGTATTTATCTTTCGTGGTGCTGGAAGTTCAGAATCAGTGCGCTGGCAGATTCAATGTCTAACAAGTTTTCTCCTCATGGATGATGGCCACTTCTTGCTGTGTCTTCCTATGATAGGGACAGAAAATATATCTGTCATGTCACCTTGTCGGGGCCCTAATCTAATTCCTAAGGTTCCTATCCTCATGTGGTCCAAAGGTCCCATCTCCAAATGCGATCACATTGGGAATTAGGGGATTAACATGAATTTCAGAGTAGCACAAATATTCAGTCCAGAGTAGAGTTGATTTCTGAGTAAAAATAGATAAATAAAATTAAATCCCATTCACAGGAATTCTTAACAGACAAAAGACACTTGCTCAGCTAAAGCCGTGAGGGCCTTTGAGGTCTGAGCGCCGCCCTGTGGCACCGCATTGAGGATACTATGCCTTTACTCTCACACCTGCTGCGTCATTAGCTATGGCTGCTCTAGGACCCCACTGTTCTGAAGCTTTCGCAAGAGGCATGTTAACCGGTATAGGCAATCGGAGTAGCAGTTAAGATGACACATGAAGCCGCCCCTGCATCATGTCAAATTTTGCTGCATTCAAGCTGTCATTAGGACATAATATCCACACTGAGCAGATGTGATCTACTGCGCCAGGTACCAGGCAGAGGACATCCTAAGAGAATCATAAATGGAGACAAACTGACTTCATTAAATATGTTGTAAAATAAATGGCTCTTCCTCTGCTTCCCCTTCCTTGAGTTTTTGAGCTAATCAATGTGATGTTATTGCATATGTCTTACGTTTCTTCCTTAGCACAAAGAATAAAATCAGTTGCTTTAGGAGAAAGAAGTCTTGCCAAAGAAAGAAGGAAACTGAGATTTTCGGCCATGAGTGAGTAATAAAAAGTAAAGCTGACCTTAAGTCACTGAAGCAATGTACATCCACACAGACAGCGCTCCTTGGAGAGGAAATCTCATCACACACTCTGGTGTGGCGGCATACATTTCCAACAGCCTTCAGACACCATTGAGCCGAACCCAATTGGCGACCCCAATGACGGTGCCTCTAGTGAGCTTGAACCAATCACCAGATGTTAATGAAGGACCCCTGAATACTGGCTACTACAGGCCAGCTATGTGTGAGGGAGTCCACCTAAGACAGTGGCTTTGGAAGGGCTCAGGTATCAGTGATCAGCTGCCAGCATTTACCACAGCAGAGGCGGGGAGGAGAGACGTGGGGTTCGGAGGCTTTTCATGCAAGCTGCTTCAGCTAAGATGGGACCCTCCCCCAAAGCCCTGTCTGGAGCAAATCACCAGGACTAAGTTCAGTCTCCTGCTGTGACCTGTAGTGATCAGCAGGGCAATTCAACTAAAATGAGACTTAGCTTACAGCACAACAGCCTAGAAAGTAGCCCGGAGAGTGGGCCAGAGAAGAACATCAGGCCGTTCATTTGAAAATGCAGAAGTATACTGGTGTGCACGCTAAGCACAGTGCAGTGAGCTTGGGGGATTCAGTCTGGGCTGGAAGTAACCAGACATGAGCCAGCACACAGTGGGAAGCAGGTGTGAAGGGGTGGATCAGCCATACCCTGCCTGTGGCTGCTTTCTGAAGTAGTGTGTTAAGAAGGCTCCGGAGCCCAACAGGAACCAGGACTACTGTTCAGGGCATGATCGACTGTGGAAGCATGGTGGCCCCAAGGCCACGTATGTGCCTTCCGTGCGTTACACGGTGACTGTAAACACATTGGAAGCTCTGGGTCTGGAAAACTAAATGGGAATCTAGTTCTGGAAAGCTCTGGCCTTTATTTTGTAGCCTTCTATACCTTTGCTTGGTCAGACCAGCAGTTAAAAAAATATAGGATGTAAATGCCTTTAGCACGTACCACGCTCTCCACTTGGGGAGCGGCCGAGCAACTCCATTATCTTATGCTCGGTCACGCCACATGCTTGAATGACCTGG